TTTCTTCCAAAATTACCTTTTTTTGTAGGTTATTTTTCTAATTTCACCCTTTTCAGATCTGAGTCTTTTTATTTCAAGAAACGCTTGATATCTTGGAGAACACCCACACCCATCAGGCGAATTTCAATCAAATATCCTGATAGCCTAATTGATATATAAACTTTAATTCAATTTTCAAATTCAACTTAATTTCAACATTGATTCAACATTGAGGTGTCAATGTTAATTCAACATTGATACCTTACGGTTGATTCTACCTTGATGGTTCAACGTTGAGTCAACTTTCATAGTCAACGTCATATCAACATAGTTTCAACGTTGACTGTCAACGTTGATTCAACATTGATACCTCAAGGTTGATTCAACCTTGATGGTTCAACGTTGAGTCAGCTTTCATAGTCAACGTCATATCAACATTGTTTCAACATTGACCATCAACGTTAATTCAACATTGATTCAATGTTGATTTGCCCGCTGGGTTAGTGCCATTGGAAGTATTAAAGGTGTGCTGATCATTGGATAAAGAATAATATGCCCATGGGATGAAGCTTGGTGAATAAGGTAATATTTACAGAGAAAGAAATTGCTTTTTTATGAAATTTATTATAGATGCTGATATAGAGTCGGCTCTACCACAGCTGTCAGTGCCCTATAGTCTATAAGGTGTTCCTCGATATCATTTCAAACCATTTCCATATTTTTGCGAGTGTAATTACCGTTTATAGAATTTGTTAAAAGAAGGATAAATTAATAAATATTGAAGACCGCTAACCACGCTCAATGTGCCAAATGTTCGTTAATAGACAGTAAAAAAGCATAACTCTTTGCCTTTTCGGAACGATTTCTACCTTCTGTCAAGAATTGTATTGTGTTGGAGGTGACAGCGCAATGAGGTGAGAGGGAGACCGTGTCCCTCTAGTGAGCAAATTACAAGGTAACGTGGCGGTCTTCATGTTTTCTTGTTGGTGAAACCATGATGTTTCAGTGAACATTGATAATAGTGTTGTAAAACTGTAAAATAATAATAATAAAAAAACAGGAACCAGCGACTTGTCAACTTATTAAAAACACCTTCTAACCAATAGGAAGGCGTATATATTGCCGGTGTAACGAAACTGAGGGTCAAAATAAATGGGAACCGGACTATATCATGGGAGACTCTCTGTCACGTTACACCGTTGATAAAGCTAATTTGATATTGACGTTTTGTAGGTATTGACTTGGTTCTTTAGCGGTGCTTACTCGATTCAAATTCCTGTGTGATAGTAAGTTGTTTGTAGATTTTTTATTCCCATCGGTTGAAAAGTTTATACTATTCATATCTGCCGACCACTTGTTCGAGGAGGTAGGGATATGTACATTAATATCGGGATGTACTGTTATCTGCTTATATTAATTTTTTTCAGTGAGTGGAATGTATGTATCCCCTATAATAATACGTATGATTTTAGAGACATGAGGTGGACATTTATATTACATAGGTGCTGATATAGATGTCGGTCCTTCCACAGCTGTCAGTGCCTCACTGGGGAAATCAGTTTCCATGTGGTGTAAAGTGAATACAGTCACTTCTGGGCTTTCTACAGAGTGGATCAGAGGGCCTATTGGTCTTACCTTACTGACACAAGATTGTGTTACTGTTAATACAACCAAGTACAGTGTTAACCCATGTGATCAGACCCACCACAACTTTACACTTGTTGTATCCAATGTGCAGTTCTCAGATGCTGGGAGATATGTATGTGGTCACAGTAGCATGAGTAGTGACAGGGTCACTGTGACAGTGATTGGTTAGTATAATTGGAAATATCAAAGCTGTGCTGATCAATATTAAGCAGATCGGAATGAAGCTTAGTTTCATACTGTTGTGAAATATTTAATTCCATGTGGGTGTTTTTGAATTTGAATACTTCAATCTGGCACGAAAAAGTTATGTTAAGTATAATCATAGGAATACCATAAGAAAATAGAACATATATTAATGGCATAATTATGAGCATATGCATTTAACCCTGACGTTTTGGCAAATATTTTTCTATAGACAGTTTTGAATCACAATTGTATTTAACATTAATATTTATTCTTTTCTTTCTTTCTTTGGTGGGGTTGGGGGCTGAAGAGGTTGAGATTGAAGCCACAAGGTAAAAAGTACGTTTTGAGAATAGATATGTTGTTTTGTTAATTCCAGCTACCCCACTGGGAACTCGTCTCCTTAATTCCACAGCAGATCTCAAGGTACCAGCTCAGCAGGCCACTACATTTCTGTGTGAGACCAAGGCGTATCCAGCAGCAACTGTTACCTGGGAGATAGATGGCACAGCAGTGACATCTGGTGTCACACACATTAATTCACCAAGGGACGTCACCACACAGCTTATTACAACTAAAAGTACCCTGACGTACATGTTTCAAAAGACTCAGGGTTCAAAAACTGTCACCTGTAAGGCCAGTAATATTGCTTCTGGGTCAACTCCTGCAGTAGCCTCTGTGAATGTGGATATCATCTGTAATTATAAAGTCTTGTGACTGTGAATAGGAGTATTTTGTGGTTTGATGTATAAGTAAAATGAATGACATCAAACTGAATATGCCACTGTACATAATCATAATTTAGATAAAAACAGACACACATTGTATTACAGGTAAATATTCAGTTTCAAATATGTTTTCAACATATGTAACTGTGACAAATGTCCAGGCTGACCGCTGTGATATTTACCATTTATGTATTATCATTAATAAGATCTAACCGTATATTCTCATGCAGGGCCAGTTGAATCAGTCTCCCTAAACTGCACCAATTCTACACTTCACCTAGAGGGCGCTACTGTATACTGTCAGTGTCAGACAGTTGGTGGAAATCCAGCAGGAATGGTAAAATGGACAGATGTCACAGCCAGACCTTCTCCATATACACTTCCTATAGATGCTACCAGAGCCAGTAACCACAGGATATATAGATGTGAGGGCTTCAATGATGTTAACACAAATAGACCTTCTGCAGCTATTCAACTGAATGTGGCGTGTAAGTGATTGTATTTACATATAAGGATGGAATGAGCTTTTTGGTCGATTGGTGGCAGTCTATCTTCATACTTCATACAACGTGTTAATTTTTTCTTCAACTGGACTAATTGTCATTATTCCTGGTTTGAAAATGATCACAAACTGATAAGTGTTGTATGTTAATTTGCATGTACATGTACGTAACAGGCTTAAAATGCATGCTGGCCACTTGCATAAAGGTTGAGGAACATGCACATATATATGCCTAGCTATACAATATTTTGTTATCCATTTGTCTGAAAGGTGAAAGTGTTGATACATAAGAGTGTACATTCATAATTCTGATGTTTACTATTTCCCTATGAATCTTACCATTTCAGATCCTCCCAGTAACGTGGGTATAACATCAAACCCTGTGTCACCCCTCCTTGCTGACAGTACACCCACTTTAACTTGTGAGGCCAGTGATAAGGGGAATCCTGCACCAAACTACCGTTGGTGGAATTCAAGTAACAGCGCTATCACAGACGCAGAATCTGCTGGCAAATCAGTTATTACTGTAGGACTTTTAACAGACAGAGATAATGGACAGATATATCACTGTGAAGCCTCTAATTATTACACTGTAAACAAACCTTCCACCAGTCCTACTGCTGCATACACACTGAATGTGGAATGTGAGTATAGTGTGATAAACCTAATTATTTACGTGAAAAGGGTTGCTCCTTCGATAGTGGTATTGAATACACTGCAGGTGTGTACAAATGTTGAGAATGGCTTTGCATGTGTGTGTAAAAATGTTGAGAATGGCTTTGCATGTAGGGGGCCTATTTATTTTGTAGAATACCATAGTGGAATATATCTCTAGTGCTACAGTTAAATGTAATAGTAGGTACAAATGCATTAAGGAACAATACTAACACTTAAACAGCAACACTTCAAAAACCTTAGGTGAATACATAGTGTTGTAATATGTGCCTGAATCTTGATGTGGCGCGTCTTGGTCACGTGAGTTTGTACAGCGGGAAATTGTGTGATGCGCCATGTCAGGTGAATGATACTATGCAACGTTTCTACCACAATAATTTCATATGAAACTGTTTTTTTTTATTCATGATTTATCAAATTACATCGAATCACAACAATAGCTTCTGTTTATGTTACAGTTAACCCCTTCGTATCAATCCGAGCATCGCCAAATAGTACAGTGAAAGAAGGAGATGATGTGACCTTGACCTGTGATGTAACCAAAGCCAACCCAACAGTTACTAGCTATGTTTGGAGTAGAACTCGAGACATAAACAATGGCGTCCATACCCAGGCCACATATACCATTAATCAGATACAGGTGGAGCAGAATGGGACATACACGTGTTATGCCACAGCACAGTCCAGTCGTCATGGCAACCTGGTCGGAGAGAGCAGTGTGACTTTGACAGTTCAATGTTAGTATAATAAACCTTCGGTTGCAAAGGTTCTTATTGGTGGTAGATTGGCCACACGGGGGACTAAGTTCCGTAGAAATAACGACGAGGGAAATTATTCAGCTCGCAAAACATTACTTGCACGATAAGTGCATGTACCACTTCTACCCTTTCATGTTGTAGGCCTAATGTATGATAAACAATCACACATAGGGGAACGGTGGATTAAGAGATATTCCTTTGTTGCTTTCATTTACTCTGAATATTTACAACATAAGTAACATCATAAGTAACATCATGTTTGTTATTTCATGTCCTTAAAATAATTTCAGATAGACCAACAGTCACGGTAACACTTAAGGGTAATCCGGTGGCAGTGACCGAGGGGGATGACGTCACGTTTCAATGTGCTGCACATGGCAATCCTCCTGTATATACGGATTATAAGTGGACACATATTACATTTGGTAGTCCTGAGTCTCAAGAAATGTCAACTGGGAGAGAGTTGGTGTTGTCACGTGTCACATATCTAGACAACGGTGAATACGTTTGCAGTGTTAGAAACAGCGTAGGACAAGGGCTGGGAAGGAAGAGGCTGGACGTATTGTGTAAGTATAGACGTTATAATAGGATATGATATCGGACAACCATATATGAATGGAGTATATGGTATCCTTATGTTCTACGAGTACATCTAAAAAAGCAATGTGAATATAATTTGACAGTAAAAATGGATTAAATATAAATGCATTTTCAATAAAACGTTAAATATTTAGATATCAGTGCATGATTGTTTGATAAAACTTATTTCAGATTCACCAAGCATCGCGGTGGAATCACGTATAGTTGCTGCATCTATCGGCAAACCAGCAATATTGTCCATCTCAGTTTCGGCCAACCCAGCCAATGCTTCGTTTACCTGGAAGAAGAGTAACGGTGATAAGAAATTGCCTGTTGTAGGCGGTATTGTCCTTACTGGTCCAAGTTCATTGAAAAGTAAACTGTTTATTCCCAGTGTACAAGGAAGTGATTACGGACAGTATGTGTGTACAGTTTCACACACAGTGGCTAGCCGGGAATTTACTTTTGAGATCAGACCAAAAGGTACATGAAAATAATTCTTTGACAGTGTCAGTTATATCTTGCGTGAATCCAACCAGCACAAGTTCTTTTTAATTCACATGATTTTTACACGCTAGGTTCGATATCCATGAACACGTATCACCTTACCTTTTTATTAATATCAGATCCCCCAGAAAGGCCCACAGACTTCAGGATATCAAGCTGGACACCAGCACATATTTGTTAGGCAATACTCTCATGTACATGTATGTTTGTATACTGTATTCAGTACCCGTGACTACATTTTTTCTTTATATTTTAATTGATGCCAGGACCCCCAGAAAGACCCACAGACTTCAGGATATTAAGCTGGACATCAGTATCAGTCACATTAGCCTGGGTGTCCGGGTTTAACGGAGGCAGTAATCAGTCATTTCACATTCAGTACAAGGAAACGTCTAGAACTCGGTGGCAAAAGGATGATCAACTCGTCGTCTCTGATCCCGGTTACATGAAGACATCCAAGGCAAAAGTGCCCGACCTCAACCCAGCCACGTCGTATGATTTTCGTTTAGTTTCTATCAACAAACACCCGTCCACCAACAGCAGTGGTTTTACTGGAGCTTTTACACAGAAAACAAAAGGTATTTTTTGTTGTTTAAACGAGCATGTCCAAAAGCAAGAACGTGGCTTTGGATAATTTCAGAAACAGTGCCTAATCACATGATTTATGGTCCATTCCTCACATCTATCAAACTATGAGGCAATTAAGAGTGTGTCTTTACTGCTAGACATTGAAGAAGTTGTTAAATAAAATATTTAAGTATACATGCAAATATTCTCAGTTAATCGTGGAACAATACGTCTTGTATTCTGTGAAGTAATACCTACTGTGTCGTGTTTTTTTTTCAGCCAGACCCAAAGTCCTAGATGCTAAATTATCCGTCTCCATCACGCCCACTGTGGCTACCGTCAGTTGGACAATATCGAGTGGAATCGAGGACATCACCAGCTACGTGGTTAAATACTGTGAGAGAGGCACCGTGGTTTGTAACAGGCAGAGGGTGACAAACCGCACAGCTACATCCATCGTTATAACACTAGATGACGGATTCCAGGACTACACGTTCTCACTGTTGATTTATGAAGAAGATGATCTGGTTAAGGTTTTAGATCAACCCACATCAGGTGAGAGCGGTGTCAAAAACGTGAACTTACTAAAGCAAAGTGATTGCTTTACGAAAAGTGCAATTGTCAAAATAATTGTTTCAATTCATTGTTCGATAGCCAGAAATTTCCTTCTATTTAACAAGTTGGCAAATTAACCGTCTACTCAAACATAAAAACGTAACACTCTTTTTTATGTTGAAAAAGCTGATATCTACATGTGCAAAACTGTAATCTGATAGCATAATTATTAAAAGACAATTACGGTTGTATTTAATAACTGTTATTTATCAAAAGACTTGCATTGTGTATACAGAGCCATCCCAAGTCCAGTTTCAAGTGGGCGTGATAGTTGGCATTGTGGTTGCTGTACTCGTGTTGCTCATATTGGCTGTAATAACTACAATTGTTATTCGTCGCTTTAGAAAGTCGAAAAGTGGAAGTGGTTAGTTTAATTTTCTTTTGTCAGTTCAGTATAAATCATATATTTTAGTTACAGAACAAGCGACAGCTTGAGAATATATTGTACCGCAAAATGTCTCAGTTCAGAAAACATTGAAAAAAGCGTTTTATCGCATAACTAGAATAGAAGTTGTGTAAAAATTCATGGAAAGATTCATCACGTAAAAATACAATTTGACAGTTCTAATTTATTCCAAACCATTTAGAGGTAGCTAACCGAGAGACAGCAGCGGCAGGTGGGATAACTGAAATGAAGAACCTAAACTCTCAACCGCAAGTGGTGAGTGGAATGTGAGCTTTAGTGTTTGAAAACAAGGCTGTGTTCGGTGTTTCCGTTGTAAGACGGTGTTTCTACAGTCAATGCCAATGTTAAGATGTTGGTATGGCTGTCAGACTGTTGTAGACATTGGTGATTTCATAATACCGAACGTGTTTTCGTCATTTAACATGTTTTGGTATTTTATTTTCTCTCGTGAGTATCTGTTACAAATATGCCACAAGCTGTTCATTTTTCTTAAGGTTAATGGCTATCCATTTCCGTGCTTTTAGCAATCAACCTTAATGTTTCAGAGGCCCCCGGCCACGGAAAGCAGCATCTATGAAGTTCCTGACCATCAAGCAAATCAAACACCAATCTACACAGATCTACAGCCCCCTAGTGATACACGATGAGTCCTGACAAGAAATGTTAATAGCGGTAGTGAACGTGCATACTTCTAGTGTGTGAACATTGTTTTTCTTTTCCCGATGATTTGGCGACACTAAAATAAATATCAGCAGACTTCCTTTGCTAGATGAAAATCGGTAAAACTTCGAATATTTAGAATCTGTCTACTTTCAATAAGATATCATTTTTTTGCCAATAACTATAGATAGCATTTTGTCTTTTTTATAAAAAAATGTATATATTCCTATCATTTAACACTACTGTACATAAAATCCTATTGCCACGCCATTATAAATACTGAATGTGCACATGAAATAAGAACATACCCCATCTAATGCCTTTCTCCTAACTTTTTTTCGTTAGGAGAAAGAAATAATTTTGTATTCTGTTTGTATTGTATTTTGTTTGTAGAGTATACATGGATTTTAGACTCCAAATGAATAAATGTATTATTATCATTATTATTATTATTATTATTATTATTATTATTAAAAAGAGAACACAGTAGTGAGCGATTAAAAGCCAGTATTCAAAGCAAAGCATTTTCTCCCCTGTAGACATATGGTGTCTTCGTTTCTTTATTCTGTCTATCTGCAAGCTAAATCATATGGGGCCCTTAAGTAAAGCCTACAGTGAGCAGTGTCGTGGGAAAGAGAGGTTTGGCGTTATGTGATAAGACATATGATAACCTTAGCTCAAGAAATAGTTGCGCTTTATAAGGAGCTGACTTGCTTTGAGTCACTTCTATGATACATATGGTTGTGTAAATATGGAAGATAAGAGAAATATTATGAACGTGTGTGTTTATATATATACCTATGTGTGCATGAGAGAGAGAGAGAGAGAGAGAGAGAGAGAGAGAGAGAGAAAGAAACGAGCAAGGGGAAAAGAGGAAGATAAATGATAGTGTCACGTACATGTATTACACATCCAGACAGTTGGAGGGAGATATAATGTCTTACTCTGTATTAAACTTGTGAATACACTTTATTCGTGTCAGTAAAATACAGAAGATTTGAACGTAAATGCACAGCCCACACAAATGTTAGAGCCTTCAAGTTTTTCATTCTCTTGTTTCAATGACCGCAAAACCACTTTCGTAAGGGGCTGTGCTGCAGTAAACAAAAATAAGGCTTCTTTTCATCTTTCTGAATTAATGTAGATAACCAAATCATATTTCCTCAGTTCTATCACTTCTTATTAAACAATATTTTTCTACAAGTAGTTTTAAGTAAAATTAACACCGCTGTGAAAAAAAAAGACTAAAAAATTCTGTTTGTGAAAATTCTGTAGAGAAAAAGGGTTTATCTTTCACTGTACTTTAATCAATAATTTCATAGATATTGACAAAAGGATATATATACCGGTAATCTATAAATTTGATTGAGTATTTAGAATCTGCATTAATATCTATATATTCCCTATAGAGAATATACATACAGGATGGAAATCGCGGTAAAAAGTGTTTGCAACTTGCCTCTGATAATCAGATAGAATTTCATATACATTTTATCATCTCAAGAACAGAAGGCTGCATCACGTTGAAAAAACTTTAGTGTAACTGTGCATATTCTAAAAGATATACGCAGGGATTATGCACACAGAATTTATAATGTAAAAGAGGATATACGTTTAGTTCAGCTGTTACATTTCGCGCTCAATAAAAATAAAACGCATTTGTTTAAATAATATAAACACACGAGTCCATCGACCTAAAATTTAAAGTAGGTGAAATAAAGGTAGAATAATATGTGATAAACTAGGTAGAATATGTGATATACTGGAATATACTACGTGCCACATCAACATTTTGATATACTAGAATAGACTCAAAAGTGAACAATAAACGAATAAAATCCACGAAGAAACTGTTTTACAGTTGTAAATGTCACATTAAGCTGCAATGAAAAAGAGTAGGTATATACCTAAGAGTCAAACAGCTACAGTGGTAAATAATCAAGATGCAACAACTAATTGTAAATTGAGTAAAACTCCATGTATGTTTAACGTTAACTAACCGACAAAAGTTTTATTAATTTTTTTTTTTTTTCATTTTCCGTTTTTCACCCTTTGCCTTTTAGTTGCAGCTATAGAGTAGTCACTTTTTGCTTATAAGCTGCACATAGAATATTCACTTTAGTTTCTTGAAAGGGGATCTTTAGTGGGACACGGGCGGGGCTTTCTTGTTAAAATCAATTGTTCCGTATTCAACGGCGTCATTGGTCCGGATGATGTCGTCTTTTTTGTCCTTGGCCGAGGTGGGTCTTGAAAACGTGAGGTCAGCGTACACCGTGCCGTCTGGACCGACTGCCTGCGTAAGACAAAGTTAGAAAGGTTGTAATCGTGATTAAGCCACGACGAAACAAGAAATAAATGATGCAAAAGGACAGTTTACGATAGAAATATTCCACATGCTGTTAATGATTGCCCTGCACGTAGTTAATAAAAAGCGAGTTCACTTTTGATACTAACACTTGAAACGTTATCATCATAGACAATAGAGACCTATAGCACAGTGATACATGGTACAATAACATTTATTAAACATTACGTAATGATACATCTCATGAAATGTGTGAAGAGATGTGTGAAGCAAGATCTCAACAGGGAGAAACTGCAATGTTCCGCCTGCTTACCAAAGGGGCGTACAAAAGATATATTTAATAAAGTTCACCTTTTCTACTCGTACGTTTTAGATAAACCCTGTCAAATGTGTTTAGTAACACTGAACTGATAAGATATGTCTGAAACCCTGTCACACTTAATGAGAGATAAAGGTATAAAACTGATTGTTTGTGTTTGGTTTATCTATATTCACATTTTATTAGATCTGCTTAAATAAATTGACGCTCTAATTTAAGCAGAATGCACTCAACACATGTAGGAAAGTTTTGGAAATAGCCGAATTTTGAGTTGTAAAATACACCAAGGCGTAACCATGATGTACATCGCAAACATTAACATGTTTAAATTATTTGGTAAGCTTTCACGGATTAAAATAAGTAAGGCAACTATGTTTCAGAAAATTGTTAAACTGAGCAGCCTTTACTTTTTAATGGATACACTCAAATGCACAATGGAACAAGCAATGGAAAGCTGGATAAATTTCATGGAGGGCAAATTCATGCAAAATTCGATACCTGTTGTGCTGTATGATGCACCGGCCAGTATTGGTGAATTAAAGACCTTTCGTACGTACAGGTCACTTAATGTATACTCTCTTTAATATAATTGACCAATCAATTTGACCTGAAAAGACCATGTCAAACACCTGGCAAGTTTGAAGACGGTACAGTATTAGACACCTTATCGCACAGAACACGACCTTTGAGTCAGCTAAGGTCGTGTAAATGTAACATCTGTACACTCTTCAGGTGTGAACGTTTGATACACGCACCATGGAAACAACGGCTATGTCTTCATGTAGCCGACACGAATATATTTCCAGTCTTGGATGCATTGGCGTAATACTAACCCATGTGTTTAATGCAAAAGCAGTTAGCATCTTAACCTTTCAGAGGAAAAATGAAAAAAAAAACACACCCTTCTATTGGTTATATATGAACCTTTGCTGTCAAAGTATACATAGCATGATTATTATTTTACCTGCCCTGTACTATACTCCGTGACGTCAGAATCGGGTCCTCTGCTGAAGTGAATTTCGTTGGAGGTTTCTAGGGCTGGGTTGGACACTCCATTTGACCCTACATGCCTGGTATCAGCAACCAGGGAACTATAACGTATAAAATAATGTCTCGTCCATTGTTTTCACGTAGTAGAATTAAATACATTGGCATTTCTCATATACAGACTTTTCAGTAAGCTGCAGTATTATAGGGACCAGAGTAATGTAATTTACAATACTTTGTTTTCATTTCTATTCGTTGTTTTTTTTTCTGATTTCTTGGTTAAAGAATCTGTTGCAAACTCGAAAAGGAGTATACTGTGACGCATCTGTAATAAATAATTTTATGCAAGGATAACTATTTAATCACTTTATTTTAACTTAATCAACAAAACGTTGAAACAATGTTAATGTTCATGGTAATAAAGTTGGCTAAAAATTATTACTTAATATTCAGACACTTACTTTCGAAGTCCCCTCAACTCCATCCTTGCATCTGAAAATTCATCAGAACATAAATGGAACATATATGGTAAATATGTTTTTTTTTCGACTAGTTACAGCTGAGCATATTGAGCATATCTTAATTTTGCTGGCCTGCAGCAAATATATTCATCCTTTGTGTTTTGTATATGTTTGTGGAATAAAACGCTGATTTTTTTCATTTATTGACAACCACTATTGAAATTGTTGTTTACCTCCAAACGTTAGAGGGTTATCAGGAGCATCTTCATCCTGGACAGACATCGGAGGAAAACAGTAACTCTTTTAATAAATTATTTAATGTGTTTATTGTTTATTTATTCAAGTTAAAAAAAAATCACATACCGCTTGCTGTCTGTCTTCTTTTTAGATAAATCCCTCCTGCAATGATGGCAATCATTACCAACGCAGCTCCGACACTTAACGCGATGATGATTGTGGTCGTTTGATCGGGGTGCTCTGTTGGCTGTACAGCTGGAATTTTATAAACGTACTTTAAGTGTGCATTACTCTCAAAAGGCTATTCTCTATATAAGTAGATCTACAAAGAACGTCTGGTCCAATATCCTTGACTAAACAAACCCATTGTATAACCTGTAGCAGTCAGGCATATGTGTAAAAAATAAATAAGCAAAAGCTAGTGTAAATACAAAAAAGCATTTTGTGTGAATCTCCTATAGCTATTGACATCAGATGTAACTGAATACCCTTTTTAAGATTTTTTTGGAAAGTCTCACATTAAAACATTTGATGGTCCTGTATATTATGCTGGCATGAAATGATATACATGTATGTATACTCACTATTTTGTGTTCTCTTTTGAGATTCCACCACCACATCTTCACCTTGGTATATAAGTAAGCGAAACTCGTAGTCAAATGTGGGGTTAATGGAGAACTTCGTCGACAGTGACGTTTTATCGGAGATATCGTGGACCCAGCATTCTTGTGGGTCTGCTCCAACTACACAGTATTTTATAGCTAGTGAAGAATATTCCCCTGTAGGAAGTTTCCATGTCAGTGTCACTGATGAACCAGAAACCTCAACTGTCAATGATGCATCTTCAAATACAGGTTTTTCTTAAACAACAAAATAATAATAATAATAATAATAATAATAATAATAATAAACACGTGTTAATGGACCATTACACATGTGAATATCATATAATACAACTCATTACTGTTTGATGCCTGCCAAGTGATTCCCGTCAAAGCTCTCACGTTGCCTGCCTGTTTGTCTCTCACATTAATTGAGTCGCGATTTATACTAACGTAGCCATGACTATCAGTTTATTGTAACATGCATTTGGTTTGGAATTTTGAAAACTACTTTAGGGATATGCAAAGCCCTCATTACCATTATCGCTAGAGCTTAAATGCATGTTAATAATCGAAGCATTTTCCATACTATAAAGAGAGGTTTTCATTCAACAAATTATAGAAAAGAATACCTTTCATTGCAATAGAAATCACATCAGAATAGACACTATAACTTCCACCATTGTACGAATTTTTGGCTTTCACTCGTATATTGTAGGCAGTAGCAGGTGTCAGGTTGTCAATTTTGTGGGTTACATTCTTTCCTTCGCCTGTATCATTGATGTCAGAGGCAGAAGTTTCCCATATCTCACCAGCTTCATCTTTGTATTCTACCACGAACACTTGGGTGAGGCCACCACTGAAAGCGGAAACCCATTGAACTTGGGTCGAGATTGCCGTGGTGCGACCAGGAATCTCGTGTAGGCCTGTTGGAGCCAATGGTGGACCTAAATAATAATAATAATAATAACAATAATAAATTCCTTCATACATTGCCTAATTTACATTTTGCTTGTTCAAGTACGTGACAGTTTGTCTTGGGATACGTTGCATTGTTATCTAAATAGTAGTTTGCAAAGGAATCAATCCAAACTCGAATGCTATTGAAATTTAAGTAAATTATTTTATTTTACCACACATCTGTGGATTTCTTTCAAATTTGAAAAAAATTATCAATTAATGCGCCACATGTTTTGCTTTGCTTTAAAGGGGTAATATTAGCTCTAGTGTTATATGATAAGAACCCAAACCTATCTTACCTTGGGCGCTTACGTTAAAACAAACTTTCAGTTTTTCACCGATGCCATTGGCGACCTCACAGCAATATTCCCCATAGTCACTCTCCCTGACATTCCCAATAGTCAGATTTGAAACCAACCCGGCACTGGACGCAAGCTCTGACACATTTCTGGAAGCGTTGTCTGGTTTGACTTTAGTCCACACAAAGTCGGCAGGTTTGGGTTCGGGGTTTGCCACAATATACAAGGACAATGTGACGTTACCGTTGACGGGTGCCACAACTTGTTGGCTAGCTTGCCGGTAGGGGTGAAGTTTGGGGGAATCTACCCAAAGAAGACCAATATATAAAATGTTATTAAGGCCGCCTTTGCAATATTTTAAAGTGCCAAAGTGATTTATATTTAACACTTAAATAATGTAGGGACATTCGTTACACTAAAGGCCTACAGTGTTTAGACTATACATTAATTTCTCTTATTAAAAACACGAATCTCAATTCGAAATTAACATGTGTATTCACTTACGCAAAATGGGCAACAGCTTGCTTCCGTGCCGAACTAGAGCGGTGTTATTAACCACACACGTGTAAGTCCCAGATTCCATGTAGTTGATATTTTCCATATGAAGAATTTTGCCCCTTGTCCCATTAAGCAACTGTGTGTCGTTCATCAAGTACGACTGAAAATTCCAATCTTTGAAATCGTACAATGAAGGCACTCCCTCCGTCTGGCATTCCAGAGTAACATTGTCCCCCTCCGTCAAATTGGTTTCTAGTATCGCAATTTGGACGTCTAAATCTGGTTTACAAAGAACATAGAATTAAGGGTATAACTGTGTTCACACACACACACACACACACACACACATATACACACATGCAGAGAGAGCGAGAGAGAGAGAGCATTACAGACGCATGTTATAGATGAACATTCTACATGTAGATTCATTCATTTCTAAATGCGTTTTCATTACGTGCTTCATAGTACAATGATGAATGTATTAGAATATAATGAATACGTCTTTAACATGTTGAGAAATATATGTGAAATTAAAAATAAAACTTACAGTTAACTGTGATTGGCAAGTACTGAACAGTGATCAGCTGTCCGTATCGACTAGAGTTGGAAGCGCCTGTACATGAGTAGTTTCCAGTATCTGTTCTATTCAAGTTCAGGATTGTTTGATTACTACCAGCCATGCTCCATTCGCCGTGCTCCCACCTGTAGGTGATGTTAGAAGGGTTCCCGTGGCCGGAGCACATAAGACGGACACTGTCATGCTCCTTGATCATATTTCCCGGCAAGGCGGTTAATTCTAGTTGTGGATGATCTGTAGAGGGAGTAATAGTTACATGTCATAACACAGAGAAGTAAGTACTTAACAAATAATATGTTTGTATGTTCTGATTTATACAGTGGTGACTGAACTAGTATTTTTGCATTGTAACAAATAAGTGGTCTTCTATATGTTTTATGGTCATTTTCAAAAATAATGAAGCATTACAGATATTTATCACCATGTGAGTATCAATCATATTCTAACTTCCAGGCAATTAAGGTACCTCCTATAAGTATAGGCAAAGTGCACTGACCTAAAAATGCAAAACGTGCCAGTACCATGCCTGTAGATATGACCCAAGCTTAATTCACATGTGTAACTTACATTCCGCGTCCAACTGAATGGTCTTGAACACCCTTCCTTTCACCGCCGTGTAACTGTTCCTCGCCTCGCAAACACACACCATCTTGTCATCATCCACTCCAACATAAGGAAACACGGACAGGAGAGATGGCCCTTCTGTTCCATTCTGTGTACTGTTCTCCTTGCACACCCATGACAGCGTCGCCGGTGGATATCCACCAGTAGCGGTACAGTTCAGTGTGGCGTTGACTGTGGCGTTGCCTCCGGTTGCAAACCAAGGCAGCGCTGGGCTGGCCATTATGTCCAGTGTTGGTGGATCTTTAACATATATAAGAAATGTTTCTTTTAATGGTTAATGACCCTCAATGAATATGTGTTTCCAGCAAACACAGGACATGCTATAACGTTATCATTACATTACCAATTCTTATTTTGGTTATGTTAACGTTATGTCATAACAATCTGTGTTCACTGGGATATATTCACATGCAGCTTTGGATATTTGTAAATAATACGCATTTACTGATACACAAGTTGTTACTGCTATTGGATGACATTAACAAACTCACGGGCTATGAGCAGGGTGACATTGGAACTCCTCTCTTGTGGCGACGCGTACTTCTGTAATGCCGTACATGTACACACGCTGCCGTGGTGACTGGAACTGGCTACAAACTGTAGCTGAACCACAGCCTCTGTGGAGGACGACAAGTCAGTTTGACTTCCGTTGGGACATCCAGACCACGTGAGTTGAGATAGCGGGTTACCACCAGGTACCCTGCATGTGAGGTTGACAATGTCTCCGTCATATATGGTGTCTGTCACTTGGTTGTACCTTCTGAGTATGGGGGCACTCCTCCATTCAGGTGGAGGAACTGTAATAATTGACACAGTGACATTATACAATACGTGATACTGAACAAATCCACGACATAGGGTGTAATTAAAATATGTAAGTACATTCGAAATTAATTCTTAATTTGGCCAATTGTTTTATGTAAACTTACATTCAATACCTTTTTAGTTTTAAATGTTTGTGCGAGTGTTTTAAACCATACTTAAAGGAGCAGTTAATTTATTGACCCGGCTCTACTTTATTACTTACACAGTATGCTCAAGTAAACCTCAGATGAGTTGCAGGTCTCTCCAGTCACCGTGTTGTTTGACTGACATATGATTCGGAACCCGTTGTCCAGCTCGGTAACGTTAAAAGTTAAATTACTGATGGTAGTGAAAAGATAATAATCAACTGGTGCTACGTTTGATATGCTGTCTCCGCTGATGTCAATATATTCGTTTCCTTTATATTTGAACCAGTTTATGGTTGCCGCGGGTCTGGATCTCTTGGCAGTACATGTTAACTTTAATTGTTCTTCCAATGTAAAATTTTGTAGGCAGCCATCCTTGCAGTTTTCTATGCTGAGGCTCTCGATGTCAACTAAGATGAAAAGGCTAAAAGTTCACATTTCATGCTGGAGAAGAAATATATACAATAAAACACCTTTGTCTTTGGTATGTATTTCCAACTTTCCAATTAATGCGTATGTTCCTTTTCCAATTGTTTATCTTTACTTACTATGCATGTATAAAATATTTAATTTCCTAGCACATATAAAGACAGCGAAGACGCATGTTTGTCCATGTGTATATTATCTGGGATACACAAACTATTTTACACTCTGTGGAGCTTAATTTCCATAACTATAATAATAAAAGGCACCATTACCTTTCACATCCAGAAATACTTTTTGTGATGCTTTATGGTAATACTGGTTTTGGTGTTCTTCAAAATAAGATATCCGACAACCATACAGCCCGACATCTTCTACAGAAACGTTTACAATGGTAAGCTCACGCCCACCGTGACTAATTGTCGCTCGGCCTTTGATAGTGATGTCGTAGTCATCTTTTGATCCCTCTTCATGTCGTGCAATATAGTTTTTCTCGGTGAAGTCATCCTTTTGGAACAAGATATATTCCATCATGTGTATATTTTCAGGATATTTGCATTCCATACTAAAGTTCATTCTTTCTTTCACTCGGTTTGGTGTCAGCGTGAAGTCAACCTCTACATCCGCTGAAAATGTTAACAGTTTTAGTTTTTGTGTCTGCAGCGTGGTTCTTTAAAGAACTGTTTAATTTTAAGAAACTTTTTTCAATTTAGATGATTATATTCTAAACACACCGTTATCACAACGATACATACAAGTCACATCGAACTTTTGAGTTATCTAATGGGTTTTTCACAATCAACATTCAGCATTCAGAGTCACAGCATGACCAATTCAACCTTTACCTGCTAGTAAACAAACCAATAGAAATACCACCAAGAGCAATAAGATTCTATCCATTTTGGTATTATCTCACAGCTGTAAGTAGTAACGCACGAATAGTATCGTTATGTTTTGTACTGTAGTATAAATTGACCCTTTCAGCAATTGTAGATTTATATGTAACTCATCTCTCCTCTCGCCTTATTATGGAATACATTCTACAAATATGCATTACGTGAAATCGGAATGAATGAATTGTCGCATTTAACATTTTATGAAAATTATGTGTATCCACGTGTGTAATTATTATAAGTATGGCTGCTGGGAGAATCATTCATTTCTTGTTCGTGTTTATCCTGACAGTAGCAGGTATGTGGCAATTTTAACGTTAACACATATATGGAATATGGATGAACGTATTGAAATGTGTTATTTTTGTTATATATTTCCAATTATCTATTTATTTATTTTCAGACTGTGGTGCAGTTATAGCTAACTTATCAATAAGAGGACTCCACGGGACAGATTATAACACATGGGCTCCACTAAACCAAGACGTAGTCTTTCAATGTGCATTCACCACACAATATAACGTTACTCTTGAACTTTACAAAGGGGCTCCTATTTTCAACAACCTAGTTTACAAATATCATTATCGATTTGGAGAATCCCTGACACGCAACGGTTCCTTCGATGGTCGCTCTCAGTCTAACATTACTTTGATACACAGTGGTAAAATGTGGATAACCTTGCAAAATGTTACAAAAGAAGACACTGGGAATTATTCCTGCCACGTGAGAGATACACAAAATAAAGAAAATTTTTCAAAAGTAATTTTGACAGTCGCAGGTGCGTTAAAAAGTGATAGTAGCCCACATGTACAGGGTTGCTACTTAATATGGAATATTTTTTATCATTGTTATTTTTGAGTGCTGGTAAAAATTTTTTGGGCTTGAGTCATTAAAAAAGTATGTCACTGAGTGATAATAACATCCAGTCTTCTGTTGTGAGATATTTTTGGTCAATAATATCAAATCTGACATAAGATGCCATTCAAAGAAAGAAAGGAACAACCCCAGAAAACCATATCAACAGTTTGATGTCAGTATAAACTTTAAGATAAGATATTAAAGAAAATGATAGCCTCCGGACAGTGATATGTTACACAGTCAAAGAATTCACTACAGTAAATCATGAAAAGTCAGTGATTGCGGGTATGACCTCCAGCAGCCGCTTGCAGCGCCCTCATCCTACATGGCATACCCTGTGACACGTTTTTTAGAGTTTGGGTGGGGATATCATTCCACGCAGTGATATTTGCCTGTCGCAGTTCATCACTATTTACCGGCCGAGGACCATAGCTATTAATTCTGTGAGTTGCTTCCGCCCACAAATTTTTAATTGGGTTCATATCTGGAGAGTTTGCAGGCCAGGGCAGTTGCTGAACCCATTGGTTTTGAAGAAAAACAGTGATTCTGCGGCCTCGATGTGGGGTTGCGCAGTCGTCTTGGTACACAAAGTTGTTCCTGAAGATGACTCTTACCAATCGAAGCATTGTTTGCTGTAGAATGTCTGTGTAGGATTCCTGGATGAGGTTGCCTCCTAGAAAAACCAACTGGTTCTGGGCACCGACATGAAATGCTCCCCAAACAGAGACGTTACCATCCCCTGCTTACACCCTAGGCAGTACACAATCATTGTTTTATGCCCCTCGTACACGTCGGTGGACACAGATTCGACGATCAACCCTAAAAAATCTATTTCTGGCCTCATCACTGAAAACGACCTGATTCCAGTGTTTTGGCTGCAAACGCACGTGGTCCCCAGCCCATTGCAGACGTCGCTGTATATGACCTGCTGTTAACAGTAGTTTCCCTACTGGCCTTCGTGCAAAATAACCGGCTTGCAGAAATAACTTGTTCACGTGGGACCTTGAAACGGGAGTTTGAATGACATTCTGCCTCTCTTTTCTGAGGACACTAGTTGTCTTTGTACGACCAGCACGGCGTCCTCTAAGGAGAAGGCGATCCTGTCTTCTTGGTGTGATACGCGGACACCCTGGTCGAGGTATTGGAGTAGGTGGAGGACTTCACAAACGGCTCCTGATAAATGTTGAATTACCTGGCAATGGCTGTCCGTTTCTGGCCATTTTCTCTGAGAGCAAGAATCCCGTAGTAAGCTGCGTTGCTTAGCTGTCGAACCATATCTTCACTAAGGTACCTGTCAAGTTTCAGAGCGATCCCTTTGTTGCTTCTCTAAACACACTCCAAAGATTGACCAAACCCATGCATTTTTATACAAGGGCAGAAATCGCCGAAAAGACAACCCCTCACATTTCTGACCACAGAACATGCAACTGCATGCATCAATTGTTTCGAGAGTTGTGTGGTAATAAGGTAACACACCTGGCTACACATGGAGTGACACCTCAGCTTTGGATTTAAAGTAGTTAGAGAGAAATTAAATATTTTGTAGAAAATTTACTCGCCAAAAAATAATATTCCATATTAAGTGGCAACCCTGTATATACACGTACATGTACACTCTCGCGTGTAACATGTGTGTGTGCACATGAGCGTGAATGTGTGTGCGTCTAAGATATATACCATGTTCACCCTGAATCTCAGTGAAATTCTCAGTGTATGGATGCCTCAGGATGCTTTTTTATTTGTTTTATTCAATAATTTACTTTACACTTGCATGTTTGTGTTGTTCATAAAGTACATGTAGATGTTCCTACCTCTATAACGTTATACACGTTGTACATGTACATATAAGTTGAAGTGTCTTAACTGGACTTTGGTTTAAACCAAGTCAGCATAGAGTTCGCTAAGAATTATTTAATAAGTCAACCAATTAACAACATCAATAAGTTACAAAATGTCAACTTATCCCGTACATTGAAGGTATCTATTGATTACAGCCCCACTTGACGTTAATGGAATTTCAATCACCGAGATCGACGACTTGGCCCGAGACACCAGGACCATAAGGGCAGTCCTTGGCCCCGCCTACCCTGCACCTGACGTCTACTGGTACTGTGGAGAAGAACAGTTTGCTGGGAATGTCAGCTCTGTCTGTGATGAGACGTGCACGACGACGAGCGTTGTCATCATACCTGCACCCAATAGAACGACCACGTGTAAGGTGCGGGTTCAGCACGTTACTCTCGCGGCGGTATTTGAGAAGGATTTTACTCTGCGTGTTGTAGGTAAGTAGGTTTTTTTTCATGAATTTTATTCAGTAATAAGAATTGGTATCCTCCACAGGTAGACCAGAGCGTCAACACACAGTCAGTATCTTGGCCAAAAATGACCAGGCGTACAAAAGCTGGCAGTTGAAATACCATTAGTGAGAAAGAGGCAAATGAAATCGACATCGGCAAAAATATCACCCTTTGATTTTACATAATTTTATCATAGTATTAAAGCAGATCATCCCTACTTATTACAGTTCCAACCACCATCCAACCCGACGAAACAACTATAACTGTGTCTAGAAGTACTGAAGTAGATACAAGGGAAACGTTGAACACCACGCCGAGTTCATCTGTGGAGCCGTTGCAATCTTCAGAACAACCATCGCAATCTGTAACACACCCGACTACGGCACAACTACCACATTCGTCGAGTCCAGGTATGAATCAATTTACTAGTTACATCTATCTGCTTTATTTTTCTCAGAAGATGACTAATGTTTGTACATTTGGGTGATTAGAATACTATAATGAGATGATTTGAGAAGGAAAAAGGTGGAGATACCTCTATATTAAACCGCTCTTTTATTCGCTTACATGTATAATCAAGCCATCTGTCTTTCGGCCTGGATCTTTACATTTTGCGATTCTCTGCAAGGCAATGCAAATAATATTTAAATTATGATGTAATTTTTTTTTTTTTTTTTTTTTTTTTTTTTTTTTTTTTTTTTTTACAAATATGGAATACACGTTTTTAATGAAGAAATATTCCGTTGAACCGCAATGTCGGGCACAGTGTCAGGAAGGTTAGCCGATTTAGTTGGTATAAATTTTGAACGGAAATAGCCAAAGTAAGCATGTATTCATAGTAAAAATATGTATACGGCAATTTCTCCCGCTGTTTTTCAGCCAGTATATTGGATACGTTAAAGGACCCAGTAGTGATCGTTGGAATATCATTCGGTTCCATTATCATTATAATAATCATAATCGCAGTAAGCTGCAGATTCTGCGGCCGGAAGAAAACAGCAGCAGTCGCAGAAATAGGTAGCGTCACTGAACCATTTTTCTAACGATTTATTGCATGGCAAAATAACATTGCTTCTTACATTAGGGTGGTCACACAATGCATGGATAAACACGTACAACATTAGCTCTGAAACAAATTTAATGACTCTATACATGCACTAGTTGCCCCTGTGTATAATTGGTATCAATGGGAACACATAAACGCACCCGGCTCGTAATGTCTAGTTATATGTTAGCTTTACTTGCTACAGCAATGGTTGAGAACGTAAGCATGAATGGAGTACTTGATTAAATAAAATTCAAATTTTCGAAAGGCCGACTAGTCTTTATTCTAAAGTCAAACTGACCATACATATTCCATTTAGGACTTGCTTTGCAACATGATATTTTTAACGCTGCTGTATTGACAGATTTCAATGCGTGTTGTAATGTATATTAACATTCTGTATTGGACATTATGCTTTTATGAAATGTATTTTTCAGGTCTTGACGTCTTGCACTCTCTCCGGGTACGTTTCTCTCTCTCTCTCTCTCTCTCTCTCTCTCGGTAAAGTATATTCTTCAAATAACTATTTTGTATCTTTTAAAAGAACCATCTACTTGATATATTAATTAATTTAAGGTGTTTTGAAAACGTTACTGGCTTGGTTGGTGTCTCTTCTAAAGTATACATTTATGTACCATGTCATGTATGCCATACAATTTTAAAAAGAAGTATCCATGATAACGACATTCAAAGAACAGCATGTCATTTCATTTCTCTTGAATAATGGAATTCTATCCGAAAATGTATTTAAATGGATTTCTATATAAACGGTTAAATAGTAATATAACCTTTCGATATGATTTTCCTTAGAAAGGGGACGAAGTAGCAGTTAAGAATATGGGGAACGATGCTGAAATATCTATGGATTTGGCCGTATTTGAAAGGGCAGTAAAACCGTCTTACTGTGAAGTAAAATTACCGAGGAAAGGAGACCGGTATGATTGCTATTTTCCTATAACCTTCCGTGTTCGTTTTCATACAGTAATTATCTGCATTGTGTGAGTGGTTCGCTTATTTTCCTTTATTTACATTGAATAAAGATGTTAAACGGACAAACAGGTTTTAGATAATCCTGAATTCCACAAAACCATATTCCATCATTGCCAAGTGCTCCTTATATAAAACTTATTGTGCAACGTCAAGGCAATATGTGTCAAACAAAACCCGTTATCGAACACAATGAAAACAAGCTTGCTTCATCAAGGTGATTGTTTAACATGTTCATTTGCCACGGTGGGAGTTTTTTTAAACTTTTTAATATATTTCATTATCAGTTTATTCAAGGTTAGCGTCAACAAACTGGTGGCTTTGAATTCAACCTCACCAAGTGAACTGAAGATTGGTATGGTAAGTATTTAAAAAAAAGGCATTTGCATTTGTAGTAACTGAAAGTACCAATACTTTTAAAGCTTTATATGAGCCTGAAGTTGATACTATTTGTGGGGTTTCAAGTATTTTTATTAAAAGTTTATACCAAATTATTTATTACAATGATCGACAAACTGAAAAGTAATCATGGGTATGGATGTCCAGAAAACCTCATTTGTGAATTATAAACCCATTATAAAAAATATCATGCAGCGTCGATATTAAGATTTGGCACATTTTCCAATACATTGCAAAGAATGTCACATTTAAAATCTTACTGCTTCAGAGTGTTGTAGCCCTTCATCCACTGGTGTGGCGTTTTTTCGAAGGAAATATTCAGGGAAAGGTACGGTATTAATGCGTATATAATTGCTTTCTTAGAAATTCCTAAAGTTCCCGTGCAGGTACGGTAGATAGTTGTAAATCTCTTTGTAGAAAATAATCGCTTGTTGTTATTCTGACGTACATGGAGACAAATGCCTGGCTGTACATTAGTACGTGATGTATATACATGTAAAAATAACTACATGTTAGAACAGCTTTTTCCTCATCATGAAACTGTTAACTACACTGACATTTAATTATCTTGTTTTATATAGTAAATGGAATATTGCTGAATTAAGTAACCCGCCCCTGTGTCTTTGATGAAATATTTTCCAGTTTATATCGCACCTTTCTTAGTTGAAGCTCATACACGTAAGTGCTATACTCTAGATGTAGAAAAAGAAAATAGTTTATTTTAAATTAAGTGTATGCTTTTTAGGTCGGAGAGGACAAGTACAGCATTCGGTTTAAGGGAGAGGAAGCTGAAGACCACATGGTGGACTTGAAATACATTCTGGACGTGGGATGTATCAACTGACGAGTTTATACATGTTGTCGATAACAGTATTCTTCTTCGGGTTTAGAGGCCAATTCTAGTTTTTGCAAACGTCCCTATATCCACAAACAGTTATAATATCATTATTACAACTTTGGGTGTCAAATGTCGCGTTCGTATTTAAAATGCATGATGCAGTAACATCGATGGACTATCAAAAAAAGTCATGAAATTCATTTGTAACGCTAGGAACGATATCAGACAACTTTAGGATGTTGTGATTCTTTTCAAGATATTCAGTGAATCAGTTGCTCCTTGATTGAAAGACATTTTTGCCTCAAATTGCTTATAAGTATTTCTTTCAAGTGTCGACTTCGCAAGATCGCTGAGTGGTACATGCCTGCATGAGAGTGCTAATATAATTCGGCTAGGTATCGAAGCAATTAATTACCCGTTAACGAAAGTCGGTTTTAAATAACTCAATGTACAGGGTTGCTACTTAATATGGAATATTTTTTATCATTGTTATTTTTGAGTACTGATTAAATTTTATTTGGCTTGAGTCATTAAAAAAGTATGCCACTGAGCAATAAAAACATCCAGTCTTCTGTTCTGAGATATTTTGGTCAATGATATCAAATCTGACATAAGATGCCATTCAAAAGAAAGGAACACCTACAGAAAATCATATCAACAGTTTAATGTCGGTATTAACTTTAAGCTAAGATATTAAAGTAAATGATAGCCTTCGGACAGTGATATGTTACACAATCAAAGAACTCACTACAGTAAATCATGAAAAGTCAGTAATTGCGGGTATGACCTCCAGCAGCCGCTTGCAGCGCCCTCATCCTACATGGCATACCCTGTAACACGTTTTTTAGAGTTTGGATGGGGATATCATTCCACGCAGTGATATTTGCCTGTCGCAGTTCATCACTATTTACCGGCCGATGACCATAGCTATTTATTCTGTGAGTTACTTTTGCCAAAAGATTTTCAATTGGGTTCATATCTGGAGAGTTTGCAGGCCAGGGCAGTTCCTGAACCCATTGGTTTTGAAGAAAAACAGTGATTCCGCGGCCTCGATATGGTGTTGCGCAGTCGTCTTGGTACACAAAGTTGTTCCTGAAGATGGCTCTTACCAATCGAAGCATCGTTTGCTGTAGAATGCCTCTGTAGGAATCCTGGCTAGGGTTGCCTCTTAGAAAAACCAACTGGTTCTGGGCACCGACATGAAATGCTCCTCAAACAGAGACGTTACAAGCCCCTGCTTGCACCCTAGGCAGTAAACAATCATCGTTTTATGCCCCTCGTACACGTCGGTGGACACGGATTCGACCATCAACCCTAAAAAATCCATTTCTGGCCTCATCACTGAAAACGACGTGATTCCAGTGTTTTGGCTGCAAACCCACGTGGTCCCCAGCCCATTGCAGACGTCGCTGTATATGACCTGCTGTTAAGAGTGGTTTCCCTACTGGCCTTCGTGCAAAATAACCGGCTTGCAGTAATCTCTTGTTCACGATTGACCTTGAAACGGGCGTTTGAATGACATTCTGCCTCTCTTTTCTGAGGACACTGGTTGTCTTTGTACGACCAGCATGGCGTCCTCTAAGGAGAAGGCGATCCTGTCTTCTTGGTGTGATACGAAGACACCCTGGTCGAGGTATTGGAGTAGGTGTCCCTGTTGCATCAATTCTTTGGAGGACTTTACAAAAGGTTCCTGATAAATGTTGTATTACCTAGCAATGGCTGTCCGTTTCTGGACATTTTTTTCTGAGAGCAAGAGTCCCATAGTAAGCTGCGTTGCTAAGCTGTCGAACCATATCTTCAATAAGGTACCTGTCAAGTTTCAGAGCGATCCCTTTATTGCTTCTCTAAACACACTCCAAAGATTGACCAAACCCATGCGTTTTTATACAAGGGCAGAAATTGCCGAAAAGACCACCCCTCACATTTCTGACCACAGAACATGTAGCTGCATGCATCAATTGTTTCGAGAGTTGTGTGGTAATAAGGTAACACACCCGGCTACACATGGAGTGACACCTCAGCTTTGGATTTAAAGTAGTTAGAGAGAAATTAAATATTTTGTAGAAAATTTACTCGCCAAAAAAATAATATTCCATATTAAGTGGTAACCCTGTAAATCGATCAGATGAGTGGCAGAATTTGTGGAAGAGCACAACCATTTCACCTTGACTTAATTACGAACAGCAAGTATCGATCCCTTTATTAACTCTGACTTTATATGCAATAAGATACATATGTAATATCGGTTCATTAACAATCGTTAACTACACTGTATAACTGTACCACGTGCAGCTATCCACGATGGTCACGGTAGTATAGGGTATATTTACATTTCCGGATTCGCTTTTTTATTTTTATTTTTTGTAAGACCCACCTTTGCATTGCATATATCTCGCCTTTTAGAGGTACGATCCTAGGTATTTCTTGTTGGAAAACGATCATCCACCATATTTATTTTGAAAATCTCCAACAATAATGAATATAACCGTAATAAAAAGTAAGCTTTGTTGTAAAGTCTATTAAAAATATTAAATTGATATTTTGTAGATACTTTCAAAACACGTCTGAATGACCTATTTTTGAATGAGACATTTTACTCCTGTGCTGTTAAATCGCAAGTAGCCCAATAGAAACGAAAAATGAGAAAGTAAATCACAAATAAAGCCATATGAAAGCGCAATCAAAAACGGCATAATTCGTTTTAATCTATTTATTCAATATTTTGGAAATAATCAGCATAAACACATAATCTTTCAAACCTTTCAAATGGTTTTTTCCTTCCCCATCCACAATCATACCGAACCCTCTACAGCATTTTTCTAGCTATATAGGTGTGTCATAAAACTTACGTAATGCTAAATTAACTGCCAAAGCATCAAGGAATCCATTGGATATGAGTGGATGAAACATATACCCCGCACATATATTCCTGTCTTAAACTCAACATAAAAAAAACATTTTTGGTTTACCTTACTGAAATTTGACCTCAGATGACCTTTGCGCTTGATTTCAGCTGATGTCACATAAACGTCTTTACTGTTTCTTTTAAGAAAATCTTTTATAATGATTAATGAGGTATAAAACCAATACTTTATCTTATTTCATTATCAAACGATGAATAATCCCCTCCCCTTACTACCGATCTTTTTAGATGCTACCATTATATAACATTTACACACTGAAAGCTACCGAATTGAAGACGCTACCAAACAGAAGCTGATTCCTGAATAAATGGACACATGATACTAATGGAATTTGGTCGCCCTATTTGTACTGATGACCCAGGTTTAAGTAGTCTGTTACGGTTGCGGCTATGAACGGGGACACCTACATTCGTATCTCTTAAATTTCATTGACATACTCTATTCTGTATTGGAATAGGGGCCTATATGGAAACAACTTATGATGAAAAATAGTTTGTGAGATACTTTGTATTTTCGTTCATCAATTGCGGGTAATGACTGCGTTTAAACTATTCACTTTTTTATTGTTTATTTTTAAAATTAGCCATTGGTACATGTAGTTACATTGTATATAAACCCTTCTTAAATGTATTGCTTTTCTCTAGAGAACACAGTCTGATAATTCCACGAACACAGAAAATAGAAATATAATTGAATGGACAAATACACAGGTTAACGAATTCGCACTCGTTCTCCAAATTGAATTCCGCTTATTAATTTGTAAAAGAAAACCGCCTGTGCTTCACATTTGAATTCACATTCCGAAAACCAAAATCAATACCCCCTGAAGAAAGGATCTGCAAGTTATGCTCAGATGAAGTGGAAAACGAAATACACTTTCGTTTAAAATGCCCCTTACTCACCAAACACAGGGAGATCCTAAAACCAGATCCTACACAAACTCCAGAGGGTCAGTTCAAATGCATAATGCAGTCAAACGATTTACATGTTATAAAGAATGTGGCCCACTATATCACAATGTGTAATAAGGAAAGAAAAAATATTCTCAACCAACCACCACCTAGTCAACCAAAGTAACTGAACGTATACTGCAATTGTAAAATCTGATCACAGTTATTTTATAAACAATATTGTAATTTACTATTGTAATTTTAGTTATATGATTATATTATGTATACTGTTAGGTCATAGTCATTGTAAAAAATGTACTTGAACCGCAATAAATAATAATAATAATTTGTCTACGGTGGCAGTTCTGTTTACATGTGTATGTTGGTGTGCAGCAACGGCACCAGTGACTCTTCAGATCATTGATTCAAACACTGTGATTCTATATTATAAAATGATAGATAAAGTTTAGTGAAATGTTCCTTATTAAAATGGATCAATAATAACAATCATTATTTCATGCAGTTAAAATGGCGTAGATATTTGTATACCAGTAAAGTGGATTAGATTCGATTTGCGCAAGATTTTTATTACTATTATACTTTTAATTACAATAACAAATCGGCTGACAAAAGCCGCTCTTTACAGCAACGATACATAAAAAAATAAGAAGGGCACAGCAAGCCACGCGTCACACCTTTGTATATGTACACAGTATCACAGCTTCTTTGACAAGCTACCTTTGCATTGTATGTGTCACCGTCTATGGGAGAAGATCTGAAGCTAAACGAACCAGCACGAACTGACAAAGCGAACATTTTGTGGCATTATCTTTTTCTTAAAAACCATTTACAAATAGCTGGGCTAAGCGTGGCATCAATTCTATGATGAATTACTGCTATGGAATATATGTAATGAAGTTTTGAAGGAGATAAATAGCAACTCATGCAGCAAACATTTCAAAGACATTCAATGGAAATTATAGGCCTAATGTATACGAACATGGTCAACATATACCAGAATGAAGCATACCGAGTCTCATTTCCTATTTACTAAACTTGCTTAAGTCTAATATCAGCTCATCTTTAACTAAGCCGAGAGAGCCAAGTATTGCATTTAATTTTATGCAGGACCCCATGTGAGTGTGGTTTCTACATTACATTGGTCAAAGCAGTCATACAGCTTCAATTATTCCCATATTCTGCACTTGATGAATCTCTTGAAGTAAATCTATGGATTTTAACACACAGCTTGAAGTAAAGGAGAGGCTTAAAAAGAGACCCATGCTGCACCCCTTTTGTTTTCTAAATCCAATCACAAAAGCATATATTTTGTGCTAAGGAAGGTGAGTAAGGTCGCGATTGTTCATTTACCGATGTCCAAATAAACCAGAATTCGGCAATTGGAATAGGGTTTCTGAAGTTCTCAAATAATTTCAAAGGCGAATCCGGGGTAAAGTTCTAGTGGTAGGCCCCCTATACTACACAGAAATACGTCTTTTCTTTTTTTAGGAAGACAGCACGGATCTAAATTAATTGCATCCAGATACACCTTTAAAATAGTTGCACGTTTTACCAAGACATCCAAGTTCATATCACAAAAAAATCCGATTAAATGTAGTACAATATGTAATTGTAACTATACATGAATAAATAACAAAAAAGTTCAAGGAATGTCGCATGAACAACAGATAAAATCCGAGTGCTTAAATGTAACTCTTGTGCGTATATATATAATACATAAAGGATTGAGCGTTCGCTATGTATACACTTCCATATGTACATATACTGCATCCCAATACAGTGATATATTATTTCCTTTTTATGCAAAGTGAAGGGTATCTAGAGAGATAAAATGAAAAAATAGTGTTCCAGAAGATAAATTAAAATATAAAAAAATGCATTTTTAAATACCTTTAAGTGCACTTCCTGTACGTTTATCTACAAATATATACAAAAAAATCTAACAATATCATGATTGCAATATAGAAAGAGTTATTGGTCCTCACATTATACACATAATTGTGTCATAAGAAAACAATCTGAATTGATTTTTCATTTACGCATTCCATGCACGAAATGTACCTTGTTGGCAACCCTATAACATAAATGCATATATGAATGTCCACAAAAAATAAAATCATGTAAATAGATAAATAAATGATACATTTACCCTGTGATGTGCAAAAATGCATAGGCTGTAGAGAACCTGATTTATACACAAGATGCATAAAAGACCAATTGCAAATGAAAAATGAATGTATAGCCTGAGAAAAGTATTAATATGAATTTTTCCAAAAGTTTCATTTTAACAATATCCAACAAAAATTATGAACAGAACAATAATTTCAATGAGCAACGGCTCATATCACTATATCATTATAATTAATGACTCTATCTTATCACCCTGTTGTAATCAATGTACCCAATATTGCCTAGTATAATTATGCTTTGCTCTCCAATGAAAAAAATACATTCACAAATAAAAACAACATGTTTTTACCCTCCTCTTTCCTTAAAGTGAATCCAAATTATCAAACCTGCACAGCAGGTATCAAGATATGCATAAATATTCCTTCTATGGACGGACACTGGGCCTTAAAAGGGCGACTAGTATTTAGTATTGTCCACTGACTCCTAACATCTTGGCAACTAGACAATCTGGTTTCATGATTCTAACTTTAGTAAATAGTATATTCCAGGTATATTCTAAGACCCAGTTTGATATGTGCCAGTAGTGGCAATGTATATATCAAATGGTGGGGATGTATTCAGATAAAACACATGGATACAAGTACCAGAGTTTGGGTCGTAGAGAAGAAATTACTTCATTCTTTCAATTATAGGATGGTGCAGGCTCCAGACTTTGGGATTTCATCGCCTGGAAATGATATAAATACAATTAATGGCAATATATTTTTTTTCTAAAAACACATGTATAAAAACCATATACACCTACACTCACTACACTGTACACTGTGTGCCTATAAAAAAGATGAATTAAGTTTACCAGATCCATTGAGGTTATCATACAAAATGAAAAACAGACATTTAAAATGAGCAGACATCCAAAGTCATATTTCAAGTTATTTTCTCTGTTTGCTTATATATAATTATAAGGATAGAGAAAAATATATTCACACCAAGTCACATGCATTTACATGTACAAGCACAGTATAAGGCAGTGATTACATATGTAATAATTATAATAATAGCAAATTAACCATAAAGAAAGACCACCATGAAAAAGAAAACATTATCCAATATAAAATAAACATATAATTAGCATATTAAAATGATACCTACCTCCAGAGTCTTTAGGGATTTTATTGATCTGTTTTTCAGCTTCTTTCCAGCTGGAAGCATTCAGCACTTCGTTGATGACCTTGGTCTCAACCCTGACCTTGTGATGGCTGTTGGCAACTTTTACCATTTTACGCAACTGACTCTGGAATTGGAAAAAATGTCGTATATTATTTATTTTTAATTTTGGTGGTCAGATTATAAATAAAAGTTGTATATTTACTATAATATGCTTATGCCAAAATAAATTTTAACAATGGCAGTAATAATTTGCAATGAAGTCATCAGTAACACTTACTAATATCTTCACATGAAATGTGTATAGAAAAAATATCAAATATTTACCATTTTTTCTTCATACTTCTTCTGTCTCTTTTCGAGTAATGCACTCTGCATCATATATTTCACTTTGCCAGCATCCACAGTCTAAAAAATTAATGAAGATATAAATGAAAGTAAGGGAACAAAATAATCAAAATAACCAATAAACATATCTCATGAGTTACCACATTGCATATAGCTGTGAAATGAATTATATATTAAATCATATGCTACCAGTATTGTCACAGTGTCGGGTGTTTCTTAATTTGCGGTGCTTGTAATCCAGATTAAAGAAGGATGTCTTTAATCTAATGGGTAAAAAAGAGCAAAAAAGGTAAACTGTGATCCACAATACATAACTTTCATTTTCTTTCTCGAGTCTTTATTTAATAATAATTTATAATTATTGTTCTCACAGATCATACTTACCTTGACATTTGCATTCCCATGATGCACCTGCTGTGCTGCCATGGACAGTTTCTCCATCTCTTTCTTGGTGTTCACTGATTTTTTGGCCTGTCCTGACTTCTGATCGCCCCATATCTGCACCATCATGGCACCGTCTCTCAGCATCTTCACATGCTGAAATAAATATTGGGACAGTGCAATTAGACCCCTTATACAACATTGACAAATTTATCATTATTGGAAAAAAATTGAAAAAAAAATCATTTTTAACTCAATATAATAAAATTGTTGACAGATATATTACAGCAGAGAATGAGCTAATAGTTGAAAAATTTGGGGGTTATAAAAGGAAAAATCATTTGATTTTATTTATTTTTTTATTATTATTTTGGAGCAGGACGAACACAAATTGTGGCCCCCAGGGTTTCTATTTAAAATTCCAAATGGTGTTGGTGGTCCCATATATATATATATATATATATATATATATATATATATATATATATATATACATATACACTGGTATGTGTCCCTTCCCCCAATCCCCCAAGGGGAGACAACCTTATATAACTTACCTCTGGTTTCACCACAGGCAGATCATACTGTTTCTTAAAGTTCCAGTTGGGGTTGCTGGTGCCAGAAATCTGTGCAGTCTCAGTGAAATCAGTCTGTCCTGGCGCTATAAACCTGGCATACAGATCCTGGAAACAGACAATCAATCAATCAATTAATCGATGAATTATGACTTAGTTAATAGATTCATTAATTAAACAGAAGATATACATAAGTGTATCACTATATATACATATATATATGTACATGTATACTTGGCATTCATGTCTTAGACAGATGGTGGGTCAGGGAAATAAAAATTTGATCTAGATTTTTTTTCATAACTCAAACAGGGTCAACTAATTTGGGGGTGGGGGGTAAAAAAAGTATGTTTTTCAGCAAACAACTCCCTCCCCTCCTCCACCTTAAAATGTTTTGCTGTACTAGTAGTTGTATTACTGTCTACTCACAGTGTATCTGGCAGGGATGCCCCTGGCACTGTTGACTTTCACCATGAAGTGAAGATCCTTTCCCACCAGTTCCTCAGGGTCATCCACAAACACATCATCTGCCTCTGTGTACTCTTTACCCTTCTTGTTACATGGAACCACTTCCAGCTAGATAGTGATTGAAACAGAGATTTTTTGTTATTTTAATTAAATAACTTTAATTGGTCATGGGCATATATCTTCCATGAATAACCATGGTAATTCTTACAGAAACTGTAAGTATCATAATGTTATAACTTCATTCAATTGAAACTGTGTTGTTCTTAGGTTGTAAGGACTTTTACTGTTCTTCCACCACATCAGGTCTAAAGCATGTTAGTATTAACATTGAAGGGCACCTCTTAATGTTGGCTGAAGATCAAAGCTGTCAGCTACCTGACATTAAAATTTATCAGTGAGTATTTAAAACATGACTTTGTGGCAAAGTAACATTTGCTAGCTAAACATGGTAGGCTGCAGGGTAAATTACAATAAGACAGAGGCCTGTAGCCAGCAATTTCAAAAGGGGGGTTCTTTTTCTGAAAAAGTGGACCTTTTCCCATAAAAACATAATATACCTAGTTCAATTTTTACCCAGAGTGGACCTTTTCCCAGCAAAAGGGGCGGTTCTTTTGAACCCCCCGAACCCCCCTGGCTACGGGCCTGAGACAAATATTATTATTTGCACACTTACATTGAATATTCCCATCTGTCTTCCTCGGAAATCAGTAATTTCCAGTTGTTCCTTCAGCTCAATCTACAGAAAAATATGTACAATGTTATTAAAATGATTTTACATTGAAAATTAAAATAAATTAAAAGCAAACAAACAAAAAACAACAACAAATAAATAAATAAATAAATATACCTAGACTTTGTTTTGTATAAAAATAAATAAATCTTGGCCTCTCCCTTACAGAGACCCATGTGTACATACAAGTGATGGGGACTTAAAAAACAATATGGATTTCAAAATATTGCATTAATCAAACAAGAGAAAATCAAAGCTCTCTAAAATCTCTAGTCCAGTTTTCTACATCCCCACCTACCAGATAGGCTAGAGATTGCAGCCACACCTTCACACTACCAATGTGAACTGGGTCCTCTGGGTTCTCATAGAATGGATCTTGCTCCTGGGAATAGTAAGTAAACTTAGATTTATTGTATTCATTTTTTTTTTTTTTTTTTTTTTTTTTACATTTCAATGCTGTCATTGAAAAGATGAAAATCCATTGATTGATGCCTTTTATGCTACTGGTAGGTTTTACTAACAATTTAATTTGAGAATAACATCTTGCACAACCAACGGTTTACTAACTGCATCTAACATGTTGTACTTACAGGAGGCACATCCCATGTTTCACCATCATCATACTTCTGGAAAAGTTCCTGCATCACATATTTCCTGTCGATGAACTTATTCTTGGACCACACCCACTCATAGCCTGTCTCCAGGTTGCTGACTCTCACCATCACCTGGAACAATGAAGAAGAATATTGACATTGTGTCCTCCCCAGTGTTAGGTCTGACAAAACCCAATGCATCTAAGGTCACAATTGCTAACAGCTTCTTCCTCTAACCAGAAGATGAATTACTGATAATACTGAAATGGATTTATGTACAAGTATAGCGCAAATGAAAAAAAAAAAAAAATATATATATATATATATATATATATATATATATATATATATATATATATATATACAGACTTGACATTTAATATGGAATATTTCAGTTTCGAAGGTATGCCTAGGTAAAAATGCTTTCTTTTTTCAAAAAAACTCCGATCTCTTATAAGGTATGTGAATGGAGAAGTGTGTAGACAGGTGTGTCGCTACCAATTAACTGAATACCAGGTTTGTTGCGCTGCTGCATTATGTAATATGCAGTGATTTAATTGGGTAGTGCTCCTTTGGGCAGATCAAAGCTTGGCTTTGGCAAGGCATGGTTCTGTCAAAAAAGTATCCATATGTCGGCAACTACTGCATAGAAGAATTAGAAATTTTGCATACAAATGGTCGGTTTTGCAGTGTGTAAAATGAACTATGCGGTGCTTTACAAATTTGTTAATCTGTGGCAGAATGGCGAGAAAAAGACAGACATTGCCAGGCAGATTATTGCGCCAAACGAAACGGTCCGCACAGTTTTATAGAGTAATACCCAGACTGATGTACCTACACAGAGGCCACACCCAATGTATTGAAATCTTACCACCAGGGTACAGGACCAACTGTCTTTCTGGATTTGCTGTTGCAACTAAACAAAAACCACCCAGTCTCTTCAGAATGAGGGGTAAATTGCCACCAAAATGCATTTTTCAAGGCCCTTAGCAAACACCAAACTGGTTTTAGCAGGTTAGGATACCAGACGACCTCTGAGCAACCCACTGTAAACAGAAAAAACATCTTTGTATGTTTCTCTAATAAACTGGGGACCTTGACCGATTCTGGGTTGAACACTGAAACCTCGTGGCATTCTTTATTGAGGTCAGATTTCACCTGTAGTGCTCAACTTGTCAAAACGGAGTTTACAGACATCCAGATGAGTCCAACGACGAAGCGTGTGACGCGTCTAAAGTGACTAAGGTCATTAACAGCGTCAGTATTTGGAGTGGATACCACATTGGTGCCAAAACACAAATGGTAGCCATCGACGAAAACCTGAACCAGATCAAATAAAGGGATAATCTGGCAACCACTTGACTATCATTTGATAGGGGACAACTTAGGAACAATTTTAGGTTGCACGGTGAGATTGCCGGTTCACACAGAGTACTTTTAATAGCAGATTACTTACCGAACCAAGGGAATGAGCAGCTACATTGGTCATCAAAATCGCCATATTTGAACCACATAGACAATATGTGGGTAGGCCATTGCTCGCCGAATCAATGGCCTACATGTTCTACAACAAAACTGGACCAAATTGGACAGATTGTGACCGATGCCTAGAATGTTATTCCAGGTTGAACTCTTAAAACCTATTCCAAGGAACGCCTTGCCACTTGAGAGCGCTGATAGCAGCCAGAATAGGTCAGGCGTAACAGCGACTGTTACTGTGACTAGACACTGACATGGGGGTCCTTTGTGGAGCGTGTAACTCTTTTACAGACAATAATTTGGAAAATATGGAGATCCCAAATATCTCTTTTAATGGTTGTTATATGACATAGAATAGGCAACGTGTTTTTGTTTGCTTCTCTGGCGAATTCCATTAATGAACTGATGTCACAATGACATCAAAGAGTTAATCAAAAGTTATTAAAACACTATTTTAATCCTTTTTTTCATTTATCAGTCAGCAAAATAGGAAAAAACTGATGAAAAATGATTTGGAAAAAAATATTCCATATTAAATGTCAAGTCTGTATATATATATATAGAATGTACATATTGAAAAAATTATAATGAAGTAAAAACCAAAAATTCAATCCTCTGATAAACTCTGTTGATAATTCACACTTCATCACATAGTACCTATCAATTAATATTCCACACTTACAATCCCGTTAACTTTATGCAAAACAAAGACTGAGGTCCTAGTAATTAAGATACCTCCCTTTCAGAAATGTCTTAGGCCCCATTAAGAATAGGGGACTAACTAGTCTGAGGGTCAAATGTGGCGACCTACCACAAAGCTTGCTGCTAATAGACCCTGAATAGATATTCAAGTGGGTCGGCTATATTTGACCCTCAGACTAGTAAGTCCCCTATTCTGAAATTCAGAATGGTACCTAAGGTATTAATACTTACCTCAGTTCTTCCAGACAGTTCTCCTCTGGCCTCTGAACTGACGATGATGATCTCAAACTTGAGCTTCTTGTCCAACTCCTGGCTGATAGAGTTGGCCTCTTCCACAGCAGGTATCATGTCTGCCAGGTCCTCCTGCAGCAGGAGGTCATCTAAGAGAGAAAACAATACACATCTAACTACATGTAGTATATTTTATTCATGGTTAATTTCCCTGTGTTCTTTTTTCTACCCTGCAGGCTAGCTATGACATCTGAGGGAAGAAAAATAATGTCATATTCTTTAGTAATTTATTTTCCATACCTAATGATAATATATCAAATAAGCCAATAAAAAAATATTTTCTCTTAATGCTCCACTTTTTCTGACATATTTATAAATTAGACTGCCTCCACTTTCCCAACTGTTCCTGTTCCTACTGTGTATACCGGGACCGTAGCGATAGTCCGAAGGTTCAATAGTCCGAAGGTTCATTGGTCCGAATGTTCACTATAGAACCTTCGGACCAATGAACCCTTGATTAAAAAATCGATGAAAATGTTACCACTTTTCGGACCAATGAACCTTCAGACCAATGAACTTTAGGACTATCGAGATGACCCCTGTATACCTACCATAATCCACAGAAATGAGACAACATCAGCCACTGGAGGTAACCCTGACAGTGACATATGACTGAAGAGTCCATGACTCCAGAGACAAGGATGTTTTAGAACCACAATTAAGTGATTAAACCACACACTCAGTACATGACAGCAAAATATGTATGTTTATCTGTTACCATAGCAACTGGCAATAATGAGTGTCCTTGAACCTAGTGATATTTAATTAATACATACAGTGTATCTGAAGGGTTTGTACATTTAAGATCATGGATGATGCTTACCAAACTGTAGATTAAGTAAGTGACAGTTAAAACAAGATGAAGAATTTTGACATACATTTCTAGTCTACCATATAATTGATAACTAAAAAAAACACAGAGTGCAGACCTATGCCAAGCAGCTCATTTCTCATTAATCAATTAATTGATAACCACCAAAATCAAATCATTTTTTTGTTAGATCATTTCTGATCCTGAAAAGCTTAATCAAAACCATGCAACAATTTCTTTCTTAGTTAAAACCAAACATAAGGCAAAAAATACATGTAAAAGCCTTGTACTTGTATGGTGGAGGTTGTTATTACTCCAGTGTTTGTGCCTACTGTAGATATACAAGTACCTGACAACATCAGCATGGCAAGTCAGTAGTGAGGATGACATACAAGTAGAGTACAGTGTAGTATGGAATCTTAAAATGTGATACTTACCAATTTATATATTACTGATGAATTAATAAATTTGGTTTTATAGGTAAATTTATGATCAGAATAATAAATTTGTAACTGAAGTCAGTCCCCTGGCCTAGTCGATTAGGATTTCCATGCGAGAGCTGTAACGCTGTTTGTGATAGGGTAAGGTGTGCACATGTGACCAATTAACTTGGGCAATTAAGTTTTTAACCTGGGAACCTGACTTAAGTTTTTTTGTTTTTTTTTAATTTAATAATAATTTTTTTTTTCTAAAATTGGGGCCAGATACTACTATTCTGTGACAGATAAGTTGCAATAATCAATAGCTGTGCACATTTGTGTACTGTACAGTGAGTATTTCTGGAAAACATTTATATCATTGGTTGTAGAGAGGTCAAATTAGCCTACATACCTTGAGACTTGTTCTCTGTATTCATGTCAAAGCCAGAGCAGGCGGCTATTTCATCCTGTGCCATCTCAAATGTGATTTCGGGATATGGGGTCTTGGCTGCATCTCTCTCCTTGGGGTTCACAAACAAATACAGCTGGGTTGTGCCAAACATCAACCTGGGAAAATTAAGGGTTTTCAACATTGAAACATACATGTAAACAGCTATTTGTAAAGCTTTCTTGTATATTTTAATAAGAATGAGAAATGTCATCACGGTACAAGGTTAAGTTTCTATTCTCATACTGCAAACAAAAAACATCACATCAATATTACATATGTGTTTTTAAAACAATGTATATGTATCTAGCAAACACCTGTGTAAAGCCCTCTTCACTTCCATGCTGTATATAATGAACAGCTTGTTTAATTCCACAGCTGCAGTGTAGCTTTATACCACCCTGGCTAATGACAGTCATGAAAAATGCAAGCTTTGCAACAAAGATATATTACCTGCACATCCAGTCGGAAATATATCCCACAATTAAGTTGCTTCTCTATATCGAATTATTGCTGTGTGTATCTATGCATAAATGATCTATACCAAGTGAGAATTCCCTCTGTCATCAAACAAAAAATTACTAAATTTTCACCTTCAACACACTCTATAAATTACCCCAACAGGACTCCCAGTCATATATATGTAGTTTATTTATTTATTTATTTATTTATTTATTTATTTATTTATTTATTTATTTCAAAAGGGAGTTAAGAGGTTGGAGGCTTACTTCAACCCATTTTTCCCTAATCTACCTCTCTAAATGGCCTTTTTTATAATGTTATTATCATTTGGTGTGTGTGTGGGGGGGGGGGGGGC